TCCTTGAAGCAAATTAACCTATCGGTCTCAGAAACTTTTTCACCTGATTCTCATTCTTCAAAAGGGGCGCACAACGACAGACTTGCTTCAGCTCTGTGAGGGAGGGGCAACTGCCCCTAGCTGCCCCCTAAATCCGCCACGGGATACGCTAGAATAGACCAAACACCCGGGAGAAGAATGAACCAGATGGGCGGGGTTTGCTGTAATGGAAACTTTGGAAGCCACTAACGGACTATATAAGGGCATGGATTTAGCCCATCAGACTGCAACAAGATTTCCACTTCTTCTTCTGTTCGTTTCCTCAGTTTTATCCAGGGTTTTCGGAGCTTCATTCATCAAACAGCGTTTAAACAAAGTAGGTGACATTAAAGAACATGTATCTCTCTGTAGCTGTGTCCATGCGTTTAAATTTCATCAGAGAAAGTCTTTCATAAGAAGAGGGCAATTAGATTTTGATAAAACAGTGAAAACTGCTTAAACATGCTGGGCGAAATTAATACGAGCCGCGACCTAGATAGACCGGGCTACAGTGGCGGTAGGTACCACCTCAGGGCGGAGAAATTCAAATGGATATTTTCAGGTAGCTATGGGTCTGGTTACTTGGAAAAGTGATGGTGAACGGGAAATTGTTGGGGTTTAAGGGGTAAATACGGGGGTTGAAGTTCGTCATATTAGCATATTACCTCTGCGGAGGAGCCACTGTTTTGTTTACGACTTCAGAGCATGGCAAGTGTTTGTTATCATAAAAAATGATCTAGAGGGAGTCTTTTAGAGCCTCTTCTTTAAATTCCGACATATTGCTACAATAAGAGTAGTCACGTGACCAATTTTTACCCCTTACCATATTTGGAAGGTGAGCCTTTTTTAACAGAATACCTTTGTTCTTTTTTTTGTACCACGTATTCTTTTGTTTGATACTCTTAAATGTTAAAAGATGCAAGTTAAGGCAAAGATACCTGCATTTCTCATTGTTTATCCATTGTAGGTTTCATTTTCACTTTCTTTATCATCTCCGAAGGTCACGTCTTCTTCAAGATCCAGGAACAAGTCAGTCAGTTCGTCTGGAAATGCTTGTCGTTGCCAGTCTATAGTCAGATTCCCTTTCCAGCCAAAAGTAGAAAGGTCTGGCAAATTTATGGACCTTTCACCCGATGACTTCTTTGCAATGGTGTTTGATCGCAATATGTGTAGCCTTAGTGATGATTGACATGGGGGCAAGAGTGAAATGTCTATGGCTTTACCTTCCCTTACATACTTCTTGTCAAATAACTTTTTCCTCACATCATTGACATTTTTTGCCGGTATCCATATAAATGGCAAACATATTTTTCAAGGTTAACAAATATTTGCTCATCAAGTTCCCATACCTGCCCAAGGAGCGAAAATGTGTTAACAAATCTGTTGTCCTTCTGGACCACCTCCCAACATTCTGATTTCCCTTTGCGGAAAAAAGATGACACATACTCATTCCCCGTGAATGCATGAAAGCCTATCAGGCACTTCTTCAAACCATCTTACATCTCAATATCAGACAAAAATAGTCCTTTTCTATTCAAACCAACTCCAAAATCGAGATATACTTGACTTTGCTCTTTAATAATACTTAATAAAATTACCAAGATGTCGATGTCGGAGGATGGAGAGCGTGCAACAACTTTTTCGATGGATGCCGAGTTAAAGTGTTCCTTTTTCCTTGTAAACTCTTTGCAGCAGAATTCATGGTATTAAAATTTTTTAGCTATGAGATCAACATCTTTAATTTCATAATAAATGTTCTGATCGATATTGGCTTCAGCAGCTTCTTTTACGCTAGTTCGGTCTGCTTCGTCGTGATCGTTATTGGTACATGATGTTTCTGTTGCCTCTTTACCCGGTACTTTTGGCAAAAATTACACACCTGGGGATAAACATCTGGTCTCTGAGTAGCTGCAGTCTTTAGTCTTTGTGGACGCTGAATAGCTTCAGTGCTAGTTTCTGCGAGGAATTTCTCGTGGGACAGCATCATTGTAAATTTTTTATAACAAGGTTCTAAGTGAACTCCGTGCTTATTTGGATCAACCTCGTCAGGAATGGAGCTGCATTGTTCTTCGTGGAGATTTTTGCCACCAAGTCGTAAACGATTAGCCTTTGCAATTTTATCTTTATTGATGTCAGACAAATCTTTAATAATACTGTACAGACAATCTTTGCTCGGGTAATGAACAATACAGCCTAGGCCTTGCATGTTTAGAAATATAAATAAAACAGGACCTCCTCAATACTTAGGTACACAAGTAAAAAGGTACACAGAGTATCCAATTTTCAGAGCGAAAATAACAACTTACATACTGAAAATGACGCTTAGAGCAAAACAATTCTTTCTTGGTAATGATGCAAACAGGTCTTTTTGTTCTGCTACGTATTTCCGTGGTTTCTTGAGTTCATTGCGTTACATATTTGTGTTAATATTTGTACAAATATTTTCAAAACGATGAATTGCGAAAAAAGTTGCCCAGCATCTGAAGGAGATGTGGAGTCATCACGTAATAACCAAATGCGCATGAAATCAAACGGACCTAATAAATTATCATGTTTTCGCAACCATTATTCTACACATAGTTAAAAACAGTCATAAACTGAAAGTTATTCAGGGTATCTATCAACAACAGCTCGGTTGTAGAATAATCTTGCTGATTTGTACATTATGGTAACATTTAAGAGTATTAAACAAAAAAAATTTCAGGTATTCTGTTAGAAAAGGCTCACCTTCCAAATATGGTAAGGGGTAAAAATTGGTCACGTGACGAATCTAATTGTAGCAATATGTCGGAATTTAAAGAAGAGGCTCTAAAAGTCTCCCTCTAGATTACTTTATTATGATAACAAGCACTTGCGATGTTCTGAAGTCGTAAACAAAACAGTGCCTCCTCCGCAGAGATAATCTGCTAATATGACGAACTTTAACCCCCGTATTTACCCCTTAAACCCCAACAATTCCCCGTTCACCATCACTTTTCTATGTAACCAGACCAATAGCTACCTGAAAATATCCATTTGAATTTCTCCGCCCTGAGGTGGCACCTACCGCCACTGTAGCCTGGTCTAAGAGATCGTTCTAAGGAATATGACCCAGGATAGACTCTCAAATTGTGCCTTCAATAACAACATTGTATCGAGAAGCGCATGTCAAATGGCATTTTAAAAATTCTATGCGCCTTCGTTGAAGTTTATATTGAAACCATACGAGTAAATGTGGTGATTGTTCTAGGCTTGTTGATCGCATTATGTTACACTGCTCCGGTTGTCGTCCTCATTAAATTACAATCGCTACTTTATGTTACCTCATGTTTTGTTTTAGCTTACAAAGTATGAGCATGGCTGTTTTTAACTGCTCTATGAAACTCCTTTGAACTGCGTATTACTTTGTAACAATCTCTTTTTATTTAACCATTGCACGGCAGGATGCGACTCAAGAAGCTTTTGCAAATGCTTATACCTCAGTTTAACTCGAGAAAGAAGGATACCTAACAACCAAGGACAATGGACGTACAATTTGTATCCTGAGATAGAAGTAACACCTTGCCAGCAAGTAAAATTTACAAAGAAGACTGATTATTTCATAGAATCTTTCGTGTCAGAGTACTTTTTATAGCAGAGAACTCGGCTAAGGCCTGTCCAAAAAGCAAACAACAAAATTTAAGGTCTGCTTTTAGAAAAATAGCAATTGTGCAGAGTTTTAACTGTCCCTTATTCTTTCTGTCCCCATTGAAATGCCTAATCACATGTCGCCCTATGGAAGTTATAATAAGAATAACGCAATGGTGTCCACCTTCAACTGTCGACTTTAAGATAACATGGCACACCCCATGCACACCTCGCCAAGCCCATTTTCATCTGGTTTCACTTTTAGGTTTGGCATAGGCTGCTCGGTGTTACTGGCCTTTGCGTCTACGATGTTATTCGAAACATGTGCTAAAGATAAGAAAATCATTTTCGCTGTAGAAAGACTAATCGCGTGACCGCTTTGCGACTTCTTTACATTGGGCGTTACAAAGCCACAAAGCCATGTTGTGTGACTGTTAAAACATCTCAGTTTCGTTAGTTTCGTCATTACAACATTATTCTAGGTTTGCTTAGTCAGTAATACTTTTCAGGGGCTTTTCACATTTTTGTTTGGTTCTATTTATCTTGTTTTTTCATTGACTTTAATCATAGCTTTAATCGAACGAGGCCTTGGTTTAAAGCCTCTTGGCAACACAAAAAAGTCGCTGGCTTTAATGGATAAATAGAAATTAGACACTAGCCGAAAACATATTGAATTTTGTCAAGAGAGGGTAGATGGGGCCCTATTGCTGCAAACTGTTTGGCGGCTTAATTTATCATGATTGAAGCTCCCTGGACTTAATGAAAAGGCAAATAATACAGAAACCGCCAGCATAAGAATTCGGAGCAAAGTTTCAACCCTTCCTTGGATGAAATGCAAATATATTACGAGAAGTACCTCTATGACAAAAGACACCACTTTATTCTCTAGAACTGGGCCCCGGGTTTCGATTTTTACTCATAGCGAAAGAAAACTAAAATCCCCATACGTTGTCATAAATAGATGCTTATCAAAACCTACAGAGTGTAGTTGTTACATCGAGTCTGCTGTTAGATGCTTTTTGTTCCACAAATCCAATTAACGTATAACCCTTCCTGCATTCCAATCACTTTTCTAGAATTTGCAATGAGTAATATCGTTAGCTTAACAGTATAGTATCATTACAGCCCTCACGAATCTAACACATAATTCAATTGAGCTTGTTGAATTCATTTGCGACACGAGTCACCTCCGCATCAACCAAGACCAACGTAATAATATATCCCAGTAAAACTAATATGTGACGACCATTAAACCTTTTTTGAATTCGAGCCCAAATTATTTCAAACACTCAATGGTGCTGCTCTTTTGACTTCTGGGCACCAGAATAAAAACATGCAAACATTTTAATTCTCGGTGAAACGTTTGAGTTTCTTACCTTGCTTACTTTCTCGAACCCATGTCTTTTTGCAATTTCCTTTGCCTTCTGTAATCCTCCTGGTTCAGGAACTTTAATGGCCCAGCCATTCGTAAAGTATCTATCATTTGTTGCTTTTTCTGCATAACTTTGATTGGCAAGCAAGGTGACCAGTAACAGTAGTTTCACAAAACTAGAGTGGGCAAAACCTGCCCATCTCTCAACCATCGCATCTCTACGATGGTTCCCCAAGCTGGAGCATCTAAATCTTGAAATCCTTGTGAATAATATTTTTAATTATATTTTGCCTTGGATTGGCATAAGAGTCTTATTTTTTCTCGCTGGTGTATTTATTGTGTTCGGTCAAAACCATCGGCTGAGAAAATAGCCAGAACGCCTCGTCGGTAATACCGGGATGTGATTGGCTAGCGAAACAATGGGTTTGCGACGCTCAATAGATTGAATGCAAAGTACCCGCAAAGGCTTAGGTCATCGGAATAAGCAAAGCGGCTGGATAAACAATGGTCAGTTCCCTTACTTCTGTTTATACATCTGGGTTAACAAGTGCAGATGCACAAAGAAGAGTCCCGTCACCTCAGTAAACGGCACCATACATTTTAATATAGTTTGAGGAAACAATTCAACTTTTACTCAGTTTCGCTTCTTCCAAATGAATGACTTCAGATAATTTTCAAAAGCTGGGCAAACTTCATTCTAGAAAGTTCAGAATCTATTAGTTGGATTAAATAGAAGTTTATGAGCAGATGAGCATATGGATTGCATGTGTAGATGCATGAGCCTCGTAAACGTTCACACTCAGGATTTTCAACTCTTTTTCTAATGAGAACCAGATAATTTTGGCCAATGTTATTATATTTTAGATCAATTGAGGCTTGAGTTTTCTTAATGTTGTTATTATTTCAAAAAATGTTATTTTTTAACTACAAACGATGATTTTAAGTTTTACTTGACATTCTTACTAGTTGATTTGCTGATTCAGTCTGCCGTGTTCTATAAGCACCACGAGAGAAGATTTTCAAAACACATTATATTTTTATAAATTTCCATGTGAGGCTTGAAATGATCTTAAGCTGTTCTAATTTTTGTGGCAAATCGTGCCTGGGTGTTCCATTAAAACGTGTTCTTATTAAAAAGGAATTTCATAAAATCTCCTTGAATCTTTCGTGTCTGAGCACAAGTACAATCTCTATTAGCCGAGAAGTCGTTCTAATAAAAAATGTAATATCAGTTTCTTATTTTATCTTGGTAGAGTATTGCACAGTTAAATTTTCACTTGAATCATTCCCAAATTCTTTCGCGTATCAAACCTTATCTCTCATATGGTTTTTGCATGTTAAACCTGACGTTAACTACGGACAAAACCAGTGAAAATTCATATCTATGAATCAATAAAATGTTTTGCAAATGAACATGTAAATTGTTCACATTGCCAGTTGATCGCATTAAGCGTCAAGCTCGGAGCCGCATCTTAGAATCGTCCTGTTCCCGTATGCCCCAAAGCGTTAACAACCCTGTCTATATGACATACTGGTTAAATGAAGTTTACATTCTTTATCTACATTTATATGGCACTAATGTGCTGCAAAAAAGCCAGGACTTTCTTGGTCCTTCTTGGCGCAGTCTCACCCCATTAGACCACGCGGAAGTTCTTCTTAAAAGCAAGCCCCCCGATATCCCCGATACCTTTTTTACGGTTGACGTTTTTTCGGAGATTCCCTTATTTTCCCATGAAGGATGAGCAGTTTTCCGGGTTCAGTTAATCCTATCCAGTTACAGGATGAACTTCGATTTCGCCTCCAGAGTTTTTTCCTATTTTGGCGTACAATAAGCAATTCAGTGTGTATCGACAAAGCGATTTTGTTCTTGCTAAATTTTCGGCAAGCGTCTGTTGTGGCGTGGTATCCCATCCGTTTCTTTGCGAATAGGAAAGGATGAGAAATCAAAGACACTGCGAAAAGTGAGATCTGGGATGAGAATTTTTTCCACTTAAATATGTTAAGCCTGCAGAGTTGAAGGCTCTTCCAATGCAATGCTGATTTGAAACATCTTGACTAACACAATTTACTCGTCATATTACGAATCGATAGGCATTTCACTGTCGGGGACAGTCTAACGTTACGTGTGCCCACCTTTGCATTTTGTTTCCTATATTAAAGCCAATCTTAAAAAGATGTTAGGCACCTAGAAAATCAGTATGTTTGGCACAAAAATACAGGCATCAAAATCATAATAAAGAGTAGATTTTAGGTGACATTTTGAAACAAATCCACATAAACCATTAATAAAGGTGTGCTTCAACTTATTTTTGTAAACATTTAACCAAAAAAAGGGTTTAATTCCAACGTTGACTTGGCCTGTGATCTGGCAAGAGCCTTTTAGGAACAGGCTTTGTGACGAGTAGGGTTGTCGCTACGGTGGGGCAGGGGGCAAGGGCCGAGATAGGCTTCGAAAGGGGAGGCGTTGATTTTTGCCTTCTTATAGAACATAGAGGCTCTAATATTTACCTTTTGAAAACAAGTGTAGCTTTGAAAAGTTGGTAAGAGGCTCAAGGCCCTTGCTCTCCGCAATCTCGGCCCTTAATAAAAGCGGTGTTAATTCCCATTGGAGAAAAATTCTTTTGCAACAACCACAGCACACCTATATTTCGGCAAATGGGACTTTGGCACCCCTTCGCCGTTGAGTACAAAAGCTAGAGATAACCCGGGCGTGGAATCACGGATATAGGGACTATTGGATATCCCAATGAAAACGAGACATGCAAAATAATGCTGTAAGAATCCGCAAAGAATAAACTCAAATTCAAAATTATCATTCAGCAATATCTTTTACAATCCACAAATTTAGTGACTAACGGAAAAAGGCAATTTTCAGTTTACATACAAAAAATTAGCGTAAATAAAACCAACCAGTTGCTTAGGACACTGAGAAGAACCAGCAGTAGGGTTATCGGGTCCAGCGCCCTATAAAATGAAAACTATGCGTAGTAATAAAGCATAAAAATTTCCGAATCAAACGAAAACTTCTCTTTTTACAAGCGATTTACTGTTAATTTCATTAAGTTATATGATTCCTCTACGACACAAACATGATTTATCTACTTTATGGTAAATCCTATATGATAAATGCCTTTCTTAAGACACCCCTTTTTAAATGCCCAAAATATCTAAGGGGTCGCTTATGAGAAGAAAGCACCTGAAACAAAGAATAGAATGAATGATATCATATCAATCAGATGTAATTCCAACGTTTCAGACCATGCGAGTGCCAAAGGAAGATGAATGTGACAGTCCGTACATGTTGCGACATTATATTTCAGACCGCTACTCTGTCTTCATGAGCTTCTTTGCCTTCTTAAATAAAATATGCTTTTTTCAGTTTTTAGTAAGCTAGCTTACATATACCATAACAAACTTTCATACTTGCAACCAAACCATTGGTCACTCCATTAACATTGTTTTATAAAGCTACAGGTAATGTTTCCTCCTTGTCATTTTGCTTATAAAGGTAGCTTCTTCGGGTCCTGCGACTCTTTTAGCAGCCATGCTAGGATTGATTAGAGGCTACCTTTTTACTATCTATATTTCATTGATGTATAAGGATGATAACTGAATATCAGTCGACGATTTTTGTCAATGACTGCAGTCTAGTTTAGAGCAGGGACCGCGGAAGGGGGGCTGAGAGGACTTTAGCCCCCCAAATTTCCAAAATGTACTTAAAACCATACAAAAAGTCGCTGCGCTCTTGATTTTTAGCATGTTTAGCCCCCCCGAAATGTTTTATTCCTCTCAATCCGTAGAATGCACCGCAGTCCCTGGTCTAGCTACTGATTACGTCACTGAACCAATTATTTACTTCAAAACCAACACAAAAGACCGTGTGATTTTGTGCAACATGTTGAAAAGGCTTCCATACTTTTGCAAAGCGGTTTTCATATTGTTGGTGCTTAATTGGCAAAAAATCAGCCTGGAGGCTTTTAATATGCAATTTCTTTTATGCGGGTTTTTTGTGTAATTATATTGATCCACAAATTTCGTCAAACAGCAAATTTGTGCAAGTATGGGGGTCCCGGCCAAACCTAGATCTGATTTTTGGTGTTGGTTTCGGCCATAATTCTAAACAGCTCCAAATCTGCTAGTAAAAATACACCTCTAAAAACAGGTAGGATAAATTGCTTAAAATCTCTTAAGCCTTACAGCTGCATTGATGAATAGAGGTAGGAGTATATCCAAGCCCCCTGCAAAACCTTTATCAATTTTTGTCTCTTGCAAAATTCGCTCAAGTCAAGGCAATCACGAAGAAAGAGGAAATGCATCTTTTTAATCATATCCTACCTTTTCTTATCTTCATATTGTTTGTTTATCGTCTCACGCATGTATGTTTAGTGGCATACCTCAGTGGGTTTTCAATTTGCTCATGGTAACCATAATTCCAGTGACTTAGTTATGCGTTTGCCAGGAAAACACTAGGTAAATCATGCTTGCTATATCAACAAATCTGCTGTACCATCATCCCGTTAAATTGAGTGTTTAAACAAACTACTGGTTACATTGCCTCTTCAAATGTCTTTGGAAAACTTTGCACCGCATTTGCATTGTCTTTGCTCTGGGCACGAAAGTAACTTGAACGTCATAAATTGCTTTGAAAAAGCGTCGTGAGAAATGTTTTAATTTTTGTTGGGATTTGTACGACCACCAAAGTGAACATAATTTAAAATTACTGAAAAAACTCAGTCCTTGCTTCTCCGGTGACAGTTTAAAGCATGAAGAAGAAATGGCATATGAAATAATTTAAGGCCTTGCCAGTAAAAAGTAGTGCACAAATTCAGCAGAAATTTAGATCAGCTTCCTTTCGCAAACTTTTCCAAATCCTCATTTTTTACATAACTTCCAACTATAAATTCTAACTTACGCAAATCTAACCATAATTTTCAATATTTTGGTAAATGGGGCCATTTCTGGTCTTTGGTATGACAATTGGCCAATTTCTGGTAATTCAATGATGAGCACCTCCTTTGCAGAGTATCTGAATCACTGCTCGATGATGATCTCGTTGTTTACTAGTTTCAACGACCATGAAATATTATGCTTATTCGAGCTAATAAGGAAGTGCTTTGTTGAGAGCTAGAAAGATCTGAGCTTTTAAGAAATCGTTACTTGGTGTATGGTTCTGCTTTCTTTGCTCATCACGCTCGCCACATTTGCTTTGAAATCTTTATGTAAAAAGACATTGGGATATCCATGATATAAAACCCAAGATCCCTTAGACTTTTGAAGAAGTTTGCCAAAAATAAGCTGCATAAACACGAATCTAAAAAAACAGGAAATGTGGCTTTACTGCTTAAATTCTCTTTAATCTATTATTATCTAGTTTA